CTCGAAGTGAGACGATTCCTTGGAACTCAGCCACCTAACCACTGGTACTCAGATTCCCGCAACTGAAGATAAGGAAAGAGCCTTCCTTGGGGTTCTGCCTTCTTGGCCCCGCGAGCTCTATCCTAGCTCTACGTCTCGAGGTCCTTATAGTTAAAGGGAGCTCGAGAGAAAAATGCCTGAGGTTACACCTGCAAAAAGCAACCTCGGAAAATAGGGGAGGAGGGGCCCATCCGACTGGAGCGGGGCGCGTCCACAAAAGAGGAAAGGTAGCGACCCTTTCCTCGGCCAGTGACTTCAGTTATAAGACGAGTAGCTCGAGGATACTGTCCTTTCAGGAGCATGCCAGATAAGTACTGGCCAGGTGTGCTTATTTTCAGAGATGGTGCCACTCAAGCAGACGTCGTGGCACGTATATCAACATTTTGCCCCCCTGCTCGAAGTCGCTAGGAGAAAGCTAGAAGCTGCGAGGAGGGAGTTCGAGCAAAAGACTGAGGTAAAGAATGGAATTCTTTATGATATAAGTGAACTAACTGAGTTCCCTACGAGAGTATGAGAATGAGCTCATCGAGGAACGCTTATAAAATAGATGAGTTTACAAAGGTAAACTAAATGAACTCTTTAAAGAAGTATGAAAATGAACTCCTCAAGGAGAGCTCATTAGAAGGACAAGTTTGTCTAACAGAAATGAATTTGCCAAGGAAGTCAAATTTGAGGAGATGAGCTTTCTCGAGGAGAGCTCATCAGAGATGGGCGTTTTACAAAAACGAGTCATATAAAAGTGAGGAGATTTACACAAATGGCGAGCTGATCGAAAGAAATGCTATGAATTAACTTTATGAAAATGAGCTTGCTAGAGAACTCAACTTTGTGAAGAAATAAACTTACTGAAAGGAATTCATAAAGAAGCCAGTTTTTGTAAATAAGGTAAAATGAATGGAACTCGATAGAGTGGTCAGCTTTATGAAGAATGGGTTAATCAAAAAGAGCTCCCCAAAGAGCTAATTTTGTAAATGTGAGTCAACCGAAGGAAGCTCAGTAGAAAAGTCAGTTTCATAAATTTGAGCTAGCCGAGGGGAGCTCAATAGAAAAGTCAGTTTGATAAATGTGAGCTAGCCGAGCTTTGCGTCTCAAGGTCCTTACAGTTAAAGGGAACTCGAGAGAAAAAATGCCTGAGGTTACGCCTGCAGGAAGCAACCTCGTAAAAGAGAGGAGGAGGGGCCCATCCGACTGGAGTGGGGCGCGTCCACAGAAGAGGAAAGGGAGCGACCCCCTTCCTCGACCAGTGAGTTCAGTTATAGAACAAGTAGCTCGAGGATACTTAGTCCTTTCAGGAGCACGCCAGATAAGTACTGGCCAGGTGTGCTTATTTTCAGAGATGGTGCCATTCAAGCAGACGTCGTGGCACGTATATCAATATTTTGGTAACTTCACTGGGGAGGAGCGGTTCACCCATGTCAAGCATACGAGAGATTAGTCCGCCCTCTCAAACCAGCCCTGCCCTAGGCGAGGGCTACGATGGATCTGTAAGTATGCCTGGGTCGTACTTCCCTGGAACTAGGATTATCTACCCTGATGCACTAGTCGAAGCCCATAACGCACTGTCGCACAGAATGGAGCAGCTCGAAGGCACTCAGAGGGAGGTAGTGACCTTGCTGCGGCATATTGCTGACCAAGGAGCACTTCGGCGAGGTGCAAATTCGAGTGACAACCTTCCTGATGAGTTTACTGGGGAACATGCAACCCCGGGTAATCCGGCGCGACAGACATTCTAGTCGTCAGTTGAGGCAAGACGAGCCACCAGTCGACGCAGGCGGTCGCGAGATACACCGTTGCGGGCTCACCGAACCCTTTGTAGTACTCCTCTCATGGCACCCGTAAGGTTAAGTATGCCGAGTACCGATCGGAGGGAGGCTCGTCACAGAGACACGAGCTCGGAAGAATTCGGACATCAACAGGACCCTGTGCAGCGGTCGCCATATGTAACTATGGCGGACCTGCAAACACTATTACGAAACGAAAAGAATGTGCTGATGCAGGAGGCAGCCCCTGAACCACCTTACGCGCAATCCATCGCGCTTCTCCCTTACCCCCCGGGGTATTTGACCCCCAAGTTCAGCAAGTTTGATAGAAGGAAAGGGAACCCGCGAGAGCATGTGGTACGGTTTATTGAGGCCTTGGGACCCTTCAGAAATGATCATACTCTACGTCTTAGGGAATTTTCAAAAACTCTCACGGATAGGGCTTACAAGTGGTACGTGAATTTGGAGTCTAGGTCACTTACCACTTGGAGCCAGCTGGCTACCATCTTTCAATCCAAATTCTTTCAAGTAGAAAAGAGGGTGACAACCCTCTCCCTGACCAAAGAAGTCCAGGGCCCTGGGGAGGACTTGCTCTCACATGTTCATAGATTTCATGATCGGGCTATGGAATGCTATGAAACGCATGAAGAGGAAGCGCTGGCCAAGATTTGCATACAAGGCATGCAGGGGTCTTACCGCATTCACCTTATTAATCTGAAACTCCTCACCTTTGCTGACTTAATTGAGGCATCTCGGAACTTGGCAAGTAATCTCGCTATCTGTGCGCAAGGTGCTATGCAAGAGGAGTATCGGGGTAGACGGAGACCCCAAGTCTCGGCCGCAGACGAGCCCCCCAGAAAGAAGAACGCGAAACCATCCAGTGCTCCTCGATCAAAGAATCCGGACAAAGCGCCTCCCCAGTTCCCATGTACCCCTGAAGAGGTGGAAACCATCCTCAAGAAATGGATCCAGCACGGAGACATCAGGCTGCCAGAGGTCGCTCGTGAGCCCACCTCGGAAAAAATGGCCCACACCAAGTACTGCATGTATCATCGGTATACTCGTCATCCTACTTATGATTGCTAAGCATTGCGGAATACCTTTCACAGACAAATTGCTAACGGTGAACTCATTCTTCCCCCCAGAGATGTGAGGGAAGAGCCTTTCCCTGCACATGATCGTGGAGTGGCAATGATGGTGTCCGGCAGGGAGACCGAAAGGGAAGAGACCGAGGGTGGTGCGGCCGAGATCGCGCTAGTGCAGAGAGATGACCTCGAGGCCTTTCACTTGTTAGAAGCGGCTCCTGTCAAGAATATTCTTCAAAAGATGGATTTTTCTCCTTTTGCCCAGAAGGAAATAGCAAAATTTCTGTGGCTAGCAGCAAAGGAGGGTGTCAAGGAGGTGGCGTCTATCGCGTCACTCCCTGTATCATAAAGGTCAGCAGGGTCGGCTTTGGTCTTTACAGAGGAAGATAAATGTGTCCCTACTCCGCATAACAGGCCATTGTATGTCACGGCTTCACTCAATAGGGTCGAGCTCAAGCGGGTATTTCTGGATAATGATTCGTCCCTCAATATCATGCCTCTGGAAATCTTTCACCGTTGTGGTTTACCAGACGAGAAACTTATCCGAAGGCCAACACAGATCGCCGGGTTTGGAAGTGATATTCGGAGAACTGTGGGGCACGTGACGGCCGAGTTGGCCATTGGGAAGTTCAAAAGTTCAGTGAAGTTTCACGTCATTGATTCGGATACCTCTTACCACTTGCTCATAGGTAGGAGTTGGATACACAAGTTCGGGATTGTACCATCCTCGTATCACCAATACATGAAGGGGTTCTGGAACGGGAAACAGGTGATGGTCCGCTGCTCTGATCGACCATTTACTAAAAGAGAGTCTCACATGGTAGAGGCTAGATTCTTTAACGAGTTAGAAGATGCAGAGGAACCACAACCATTAAGGGCCCTTCCTCTACCGAAGTGGGAGGATGTCGACCAACAAAAGGAGGAGAAAATGCCAGGAGCGACTGCTAGCCGAAGGAAGCCAGCTGTCTGCAAAAGGATACGTTTAGCCGACGGGAGAGTGGCATACCGCTTATGACGGTGTTGGGGGGCACGATCTAGGGGGAGATCGCGCCCCCGAGTGGAGTCATGTCAGGTAGAATCTCCGAACTATGAGGAGGCCAAAATGGAGTTAGGCGAATTCGCTCGGCTCAGTCAGAAAGAAGTAGAGGAAGTTAATTTAGCCAATGACGGTCACTCCCGGATAATCTATGTGTATAAAAAGTTAGAAGGAAGTGAAAAAACGGCACTGGTAGCTCTGCTCAAAGAATTCGAGGATGTCTTTGCCTGGACATATGAGGAAATGCCCGGACTAGATCCTCGGGTAGTGGCTCACCACCTTAATGTGCGATCGGATGCATGCCCGGTTAAGCAGGTGCAAAGAAGTTTTCGGCCAGAGCTTGAGTTGCAGATAAAAGAGGAGGTGCAGAAGCTTTTGCTTGCCGGCTTTATCAAACCAATTCAACATCCCACGTAGTTGGCGAATGTGGTTCCAGTAAAAAAGAAGAATGGAAAAATTAGAGTTTGTGTTGACTTCAGAGATCTGAACAAAGCATGTCCAAAAGATGATTTTCCACTGCCTATAATTAACAACTTGGTAGACTCAACCTCAGGGCATGAAATGTTCTCGTTCATGGATGGATACAACGGATATAATCAAATTAGAATGGCGCAGTGTGATGCAGAGAAAACAGCAATCCGCACCCCCATGGGAAACTTCTATTTTACAGTCATACCCTTCAGCCTGAAGAATGCAGGGGCTACTTACCAGCGGGCCATGACAGCTATTTTTCATAACATGTTGCACAGGCAAATGGAGGACTATATAGATGATCTGGTGGTGAAATCCTGAGTTCGTAGTGAGCATTTGACTAATCTGAGAAGTGTTTTCGAAAGATGTCGGAAGTTTAAGCTAAGGATGAATCCACTGAAATGCACCTTTGGGGTCGAGGCCAGCCGTTTCTTGGGCTTCATAGTGCATCGTCAAGGGATCGACATCGAGCAAAGCAAGGCCCGAGCTATCACAGAAATGCCCCCGCCACGGTCCTTCAAGTAACTGAAGAGTTTAGTAGGAAGGGCCTCGTATTTACGACACTTTATATCGGTGCTCATAGAAGTAACACATGCTTTTGGCGCTCTGATGAAGGAAAAGTCCGAGTTTAGATGGAGCGACGAACACCAGCAGGCTCTCGACTGTCTCAGGAAACTGCTCTCATCGCCAACCACCATGATAGCTCCTCGGACAGGGATTCCCCTCAAACTCTATATTACCTCGACAGAGCGCTCTATTGGGGCGCTCCTCGCTCAGGAAAAGGACGGTCAAGAGCGCCCCGTGTATTACATCAGCCGAGTCGTGCAAGGTGTCGAGGCACGCTATTCTCCGATAGAACGCCATTGCCTCTCCCTCGCCTTTGCAGCCAAGAAATTCCGCCATTATTTCTTAGCCTATACCATTCATCTCATCACCAAGTGTGACCCGTTGAGATATCTGCTCTCGTGTCCAATCATTTCGAGGCGAATGGCACGATGGCTCTTAATGTTAGCCGAGTTCGATATCCATTGTCTAGCACCACGGGCCATCCTAAGTCAAGCCTTGGCAGATCTGATAGCCCAATTCCCCTTTGAAAATTTCGAGCCGGTGCAGGATGATCTTCCCCTCGATGAATTCGAGTCGATTTGTTGCGTGGATGAGAACATGATCTGGACTCTGTCATTTGATGGATCATCAACCTCTATAGGAGGGGGCGCAGGAGTAGTGTTAACCCCTGAAGAGGGGAAAGCCCGAAATTTTTCATACAAGCTCACCTTTGGATGTTCTAATAACACAGCAGAGTATGAAGCTTTGGTACTGGGTCTTCTGGCGGCCTGGGAAGCTAAAATCAAGCAGTTGCACGTGCAAGGGGATTCAAACTTGGTGGTAAAACAACTAGATGGCTCTTATGCTATCAAAGAGCCAGCTTTGGCAGCATACAGAACTATTATCCAGAAGCTCAGTGGTCACTTTAGTGAGCTCCAAATAACCCATGCACCGAGGGATGCTAACCGGCATCCGGACGCCCTGGCCACTCTGGCATCCAAGGTCGAGATTACAGGAGAATCAGTAGACATCCGTATTCACAGGAAGAATGAGTCATGTCTACACAACATAAAGTGCACGGGCAATGAAGACAAGGAAGACTGGCAAGCTCACTATGAATCGCAGCTGAAGTGCGGCACGGGCGAGGTTCCTTTGTCGGAACTAAAAAATTTTGCGCTGTATTTTGGAGTGTTGTACTTTAGAGCGCCTGGCGGAACCTTGGCAAGATGCATCGGAGAAGAAGAGGCAGGAAAAGTATTGGATGAAATTCATAGGCACACCTGCGGCGACAATTCCTTAAGTCTGTACCGAAGAATACAAGGGCAAGGGTATTACTGATAAGCGCCGAATATTGTATATTCAAGCGCCCTAAATTGCATTAGTTAAGTCCATCGTTTGATTATTTAAGTAGATTATCTTCATTTGTGTGTATGTATATATTTTCAGGTCTATTTGCCAAAAAAGGAGCAAAAGCAAGGCTTTGTGGAGTTTTGGCCATCAAAAGGCACAATTCTGAATTTCTGGCAGCAGTGGAGTCAGGACTTTGCTCGCCATTTTGACCTTGCAAACTCAAGAACTGGACTTCCATTATAAAATGGCATACTTAGAGCTCTGAATCAGCTTTCCAAATCTTTAAGCGGTTCATCATTCGGAGCTTGGAGCAGAGAGTTATGGCCTTGTTACCAGAGGTACGCAGAACTGCCTGGCAGCAATGAAATTCTCCATTGATCTTCATTTTTGACCAACCATCCTTGAGAATTGGATCTCTACCAAAACATGAAGTTTTTAGATCTCTGAATTATCTTTCCAAATCTTCAAACGGTTCATCATTTGGAGTTCAGAGCGCAAAGTTATGGCCATTTTACCAAAGTAGGTCCGGGCGGAGCAAACCAAGCATAGGGCATTCTGGCCAATTTTCGAGTGCTCGAGGCCTTATTTCGAGTGCTCGAAATTAGGGCAGATTGCTTCACGGGATCAGCAGTGGAATCAGGACTTTGCTCTCAATTTTGACCCAGAAAGCTCGAGAACTGGACTTCCATCATAACATGAAAGATTTAGAGCTCTGAATTAGCTTTCTAAATCTTCAAACGGTTCATCATTCGGAGCTCGGAACAGAGAGTCATGGCCTTGTTACCAGAGGTGCGCAGAACTGCCTGGCAGCACTGAAGTACTGCCTTTCTCCCCATTTTTGACCAACCAGACTTGAGATTTGGGTCTTCATCAAAACATGAAGTTTTTAAAGCTCTGAATCAGCTCTCCAAATCTTTAAACGGTTCGTCATTCGGAGTTCGGAGCTCAAAGTTATGGCCATTTCATCAAAGTAGGTCTGGGCGGAGCAAGTGAAGCATGGAGCTTTTTACACTAAATTCGAGTGCTCGAGGCCCTATTTCGAGCACTCGAAATTTGGGCAGTTTGTTCCATGAGACAGCCCACTTGTGCTCTAAAATTTCCAATTTTGGATGGCCCTCTTTTATGAGGTGGTTGGGGATGTTTTTGGAGGAGAGAGAGAGCCTAGTTTGGTGGTAGATAAGAGCCACACATTTCATAAGTTTCATTCTACAAGATTAGAGGAGGGAGAAGAGAGCAAGGAGGAGGAGTTCTTGAAGCTTCAAGGAGGAAGCTCGAAAATGGAGGGGAAAGCCTTGCTTCTTCCTTCATCTAGGGCCACCATGGGTAACTAAACCTCTTCTAGGGAGGTGATGAAGCTCCATTTTGTAAGCTTTGCTTTGTTTTGATTTATATTTGGGGGTTAATATATGTATGTAATCCTTCCATGAACTAGAGCTCTTCATTTGATGTAATGAATTTCAATATCTATACATAATCATCTTGAGTTAAATATCTTGTCTTAGATGGTTTTTCTCCTATGATTATATTGCTACATTTTCATAGTGACAATAGAATGGAGTTTATGGAAGTGTTGTTAATGGCATGATATTTAGGAGATTTGATAATCTATTGCTTAGGATCTTCCTTTGATAGATTATTCTTGGATTCTATGTCATGTGCTTCTACTATGTGATTAAGGGCTTGATAACTCTATGCTTAGTGAGTATGTCTAAGGTTACACCTAGTTTAGGTAACCAAAACATGCAATGCTTTGATAGGTTATTCTTACCTATTGATTTCATAAATTTCTTGAAGGGAATGTAATAATTTGTGTTGTTGCATCCCATGGTTATACATATATGTTATTCCCCTAGGTAAATCATATCCTAGCATGCTTATTGATGGTTGTGGAGTCTCTTCCCTAGTCTCTTCTCTATTGTTCTATCTTATCTAATTCTTGCAAGTCACTATTGTTTTATGCACTTTGAATTCCTAGTTTAGTGACGATCAAATAAACCCTTATTACCCCTTATCATTCTAAGAACAATTCTAGATACTTAGGTTGCCATAGACTAGCGTAGTCCCAGTGGTTCGACTTACCCGACCAATAGCCCTATTTTACAATGATTCGTGCTATTGCGAAGGTTGATGTATAGTTGATCAACCGATCAATTTTTGGCGCCGTTGCCGGGGACTTGCATACGGTTTAGCGACCAAGGTTCTAGGGTTAATTTTAGTTTGATTGTTAATATTGTGTCTTGTGAATATTCCTTGTGTGTTTTGACCATTTTCGTGTTGTAAGATTCTAGGGACTCGAATCTCGCCGTGGGAACGCTAGCAAAGCGTAAGTCTAGAGGACCCCAGGTAAGTTTCTTGACCTTTTAGTTTCACATTGTAAGATATCGTGCATGTGTTAAGTTTAGAAGTAGTTAATTTATTTGCAAGCCCTTGTTGAGGCTATATTATTGTTTTAATTCTGTGTATAAGCATCGGTCCTTGTCGTGGCCATTTATTTTCTGTCTTGATAATTGAGGAGAAAGGGAACATCATATGTGGAGTTGTGGATAATGAATTGCTTTGTTGATTATATGCTGCGCTGTTGATGTTCGGTCGTAGGTCACTCTCTCTACCCACAATCGATTCGCCCATTGATATCAATTCTCTTGAAAGAACTCTTAGAAGAAACCTTAGGGAATTTACTCTTACAAGGGATCTTGAAACTGAATTTAATACAATGGGAGATAATATAGGAAATCCGAGGAATGAAAGGGCTGAAATTCCTAATATCGAGCCAATGACTCTTAGAGATCATTTCATCCCTACCACCTATGCTTCTCCTTCTTGCATAATAATGCCAAACATCGATGCAGCTCAATATGAGATCAAATCAAGCACCATCCAAATGCTTCCATTATTTCATGGCTTTGATAATGAAGATCAAAATAAGCATCTTGATGAGTTCCTTGAAATCTGTTCGACCATCCGGTTGAGAGGTTTTCCGGACAATGCACTCCATCTCCATCTTTTCCCATTCTCCCTAAAGGATAGGGCAAAATATTGGTTGAACTCCCTCGCTCCCAATTCTATTACTTCTTAGGCTCAATTGCAACAAGAATTCCTTAAGAAGTATTATTCGGTGAGTAAAACCAACTAAATGAAGCGTTCCATTCTAAGCTTTTCTCAAATTGATGGAGAACAACTCCATGAGACTTGGGAAAGGCTACAAGATCTTCTTCGGAAATGTCCTCATCATTTGATCCCAAAATGGCAATTAGTGCAAGCTTTCTATGCCGGCTTGACCGAAACCCATAGATTCATGGTTGATTCGTCTTGTGGTGGGATGTTCATGTCCAAGAATGTGGATGAGGTTTGGACCCTACTTGAGAATTTAAGCGAAAATTCACTTCAACATAATTCTCGTAGGGCTCCGGCCTCAACCAATGCAAAGAACACCAACCTTTCTCAACCAAAATCTATAAGGGAGGAATCATCTCAAGTGGATGCCATAGCTCATAAATTCTACCAATTGATGGCACCACATCTTCCTCCTTCATTGTCTCAAAATTCGGCAAGTTCAGTTTGTGCCTCATGTAATAGTCCATTTCATCTCTCGGAAGATTGCCCCACACCGGAGCAATTTCCCAATCCCAACCAAGAGCAAGCTAATGCCATGTTCTCACGGCCCGGGAATAATCCATATTCCAACACCTACAATCCGGGTTAGCGAGATCATTCGAATTTCTCGTGGCGGCAACAAGCCCCACAAAATTCCCAATTCCAAAACTAAGGGCAGCAAAATCAGCCCTCTTCTCAATATCAAGGTAGACCATTTCAAGCCTTTTCAAGCTACCGTCCTCCTTACAATCCAAATGTTTCCAATCAACCTCATGTGAATCCAATTGATGAGATAGTGGCTGCAAACAAGCAAATGATGGAATCATTAAATGTGCAAATGATGGAATCATTAAACAAGCAAATCATGGATTCCAACAAGCATCTCTTGACATCCTTGCAACCTACTCTCCAAATGGTTCACTCCCATACTCAATCCATAGCTAGGCTCGAAAATCAAATGGGACAAATAGCTAACCAAGTGAACCAACTTCTTCAAAAAGACAAGGGTAAGCTTCCCGCTCAACCATTTGAAAATCCTAGAGGAATGCATGTGATTGATGAAACCCCTCCTCCGAGTGGGTCGACTCATGAACAAGTTCAAGCTATCACCACCCTTTGGAGTGGTAGAGTGGTTGACAACAAGGTTGATGAAGACACAAGTGAGAAAAACCCTCCTTTGAAAAATCCGAATTCAAGCTCTTCAAGTCCAAATTCAAGCTCTTCTTATCCAAATACCATTCACGGAAAGCCTACTCATGTCACCCCAAATGTGGAAACTTCTTATGAGCCAAAAGCTCCGTTTCCTCAACGTCTCCAAGAGTCGACACATTTTGGGAATAAGAATTGCAAAATTCAAGACATGTGGGAAGTTTTCAGGCAAGTAAAGATCAATCTTCCTCTCTTGGATGCTATCAAGCAAATTCCTCCCTATGCAAAATTCCTTAAGGATTTGTGCACTCAAAAGTGCACTTCCAGAAGTCATTTACCAAAGAAAGTGAGGTTAAACGAAAATGTTAGTGCGATCATTCAGCACAGCACTCCTCCGAAGTATAAGGATCCGGGTGCCCCCACAATCTCTTATGTCATTGGTGACAACAAAATCGAGAGGGCCCTCCTTGACTTAGGAGCTAGTGTGAATTTGATTCCATATTCGGTTTACCTACAACTTGGTTTGGGAGATCTTAAACCAACTCCGATAGTATTACAACTTGCTGATAGATCTATTAAGCAACCACGGGGAATCATTGAAGATGTTATCATAAAGGTGGATAGGTTCTACTTCCCGGTAGACTTCGTGGTTCTTGATACGGAACCAGTCCACGACCCAAGAATACACATTCCCATAATTCTCGAACGTCCTTTTCTAGCTACAGCTAATGCTTCTACTAACTGTA